CCTCGCTCCCTCGCTCCCTCGCTCCATCGCTCCATCGCGACAGCAACAGCGTGGGGGGCAGCTGCAGCCACGCATGACTTGTGGGGCACCTCTCCCTCCCCGCATCCGACAACGCGCGCTTTCCCCAGCTTCAGCCGCACATGAAGCCGCGTATATAATCTCTCGCTCGCTCTGCACGAACCGACCCCCTTTTGCCCCACGACACACGACGCGTTCCCCGCATTCACCCAACATGTCGGCTCTCGACGAGAAACGCTCTCCCTCCGAGGAAAAGGTCACGGCTGACCGCCTCGCCACCGACGACGCCAGCTCCAACGATGAGTCGCTCGTCCCCGTTCCCCAGGCCGTCCTGGACGAGTCCACGGTCAACAACCCGCTCGCTGGCATCCCCAAGGCTCAGCTCTTGCGCGATGTCGAGATCTTTGCCCAGGAAAAGGGCCTCACCGACCACCTCGAGGGCCTTCAGCGTGGCGCCCTGCTCGCCCAACGTCCCGCCGACTTCCAGTCCATCGAGGAGCTCCCTCAGGACGAGAAGGACGCCATCGCCCACGAGTACTCGCACAAGTGGTCCCACCCCTTCCTCCTCTACATGACCATCTTCACCTGCTCCATCGGCGCCGCCACCCAGGGTTGGGATCAGACCGGATCCAACGGTGCCAATCTCAGCTTCCCCGTCGCCTTCAACATCCCCGAGGCCGCCTCCGAAGGCATCGCTCCCGGCGCTCCCGGCTACGTCTCGGCCGCGCTCGCAGAGAGGAACCAGTGGATCGTCGGCATCGTCAACGCCGCCCCTTACATCGCCAGTGCCATGATCGGATGCTGGCTCTCGGACCCGCTCAACAACCTCTTCGGCCGCCGAGGATGCATCTTTATCACCGCCGTCATCCTCGTCGTCACCCCCATCGCCTCGGGCTTCACCCAAAACTGGTGGGAGCTCTTCATCGTCCGTCTCCTCCTCGGAATCGGCATGGGCGCCAAGGGATCCACCGTCCCCGTCTTTGCAGCCGAGAACTCGCCTGCACAGATCCGTGGTGCCCTCGTCATGGGCTGGCAGCTCTGGACCGGTACGTATTGATCGTATGACCTCTTTCTTGAAGTTACAACCCTTGGACTGACACGCAGTATACTTCTTCTCATTCTTCGTTGGTACAGCATTCGGTATTTTCCTCGGTTTCATTGCAAACGTCGTTGTCGCCGACACGGGCGACATTTCGTGGCGTCTGCAGCTTGGATCCGCCTTCATCCCAGCGCTGCCCCTCGCCATCCTCATCTACTTCTGCCCCGAATCGCCCCGCTGGCTCATGAAGAAGAACCGATACCCGCAGGCGCTCCGCTCGCTCATCCGCCTCCGACACAACAAGGTCCAGGCCTACAGGGACCTCTACTACATCCACGTCAACCTCCTCGAGGAGGCCAAGATCATCCGCGGCGAAAACTACGTCGCGCGCTTCATGGAGCTCTTCACGATTCCCCGTGTTCGTCGTGCCACCGTCGGTGCTACCGTGGTCATGCTTGCGCAGGTAAGTCCATCCAGCTTTGCTCCTTGCAGCTTTGCTCCTTGCCTGGCTGCGACCGATACTGATGATCCTTCTCTCGTTCCTTCAACGCCTTTAGCAAATGTGCGGTATCAACATCGTCGCCTTCTACTCGTCGACCATCTTCAAGGAGGGAGGCTTCAGCTCCAAGGAGGCTCTGTACGCCTCGGTCGGATTCGGAGCGGTCAACTTCCTGTTTGCGTTCCCTGCGCTCGTCACCATCGACACGTTTGGTCGACGAAGCCTGCTGCTCTCCACCTTCCCGCAGATGGCATGGACGCTGCTCGCCGCCGGTCTTTGCTTCCTCATCCCGGGCGAGACCAGCAAGACGCGCATTGGACTCGTCGCCCTGTTCGTCTACCTCTTTGCCGCCGTGTACTCGGTCGGCGAGGGTCCCGTTCCGTTCACGTACTCGGCCGAGGTCTTCCCGCTTGCTCAGCGTGAGCAGGGTATGGCTTGGGCTGTGGCGACGTGTTTGTTCTGGGCAGCCGTGCTCAGTATCACCTTCCCGCGAATGCTTCGTGTCATGACGCCCACTGGTGCGTTCGGCTTCTACGCCGGTCTCAACCTATGCGCCTTTGTGCTCATCTGGCTCTTTGTGCCCGAAACGGCTAGGTACACGCTCGAGGAACTCGATGCCGTCTTCAGCGTGCCTCACGCCAAATTCATCAAGCACCAGAACACAAAGACGCTCCCCTACTGGTTCAAGACGACCATCCTCAGGCAGAAGATCGCCCGCCCCGAACCGCTCATCCGGCTCGACAACAACTTGGTCGGCGCCGGCGAGAAGCGCGTCGACCCTTCCATGGCCTAAACAATGTTATTCATAGGTGGCTCCCGAACGATACCAGTGATTCGGATTTCCTAACGTGTGCAAGAACGAGCGCGAGCAGAGTGTGCAAGAGTGCAAAAGATTCAGTGTGAATGTGAGGTGCGATCGAGCATCATGCAGGGATGATGCAGTGTCAGAGGTGGGACGGATATTCAGGACCCAGCGCCGTGCGAGGCTTTTTGGGGCTACGGCAACGCGCCGGGCTTCAAGAGGATGGAGCTGGTCAGTTGCTCTCGCAAGGCTGGCCGGAAGGGCAATCCTCGCATCGTGTGGATGGGGAACGTCGTTTGGACGGCGATCCGTCATGATGCTCCTCGGGTCCTTGCTCGTGCTATGGGCCTGCTGATCAGAATGTCCAGCTCCATCCTCGGTGCGACGGCGTGTTGGACGAGGCGTACCACATCCGCCAGCAGATGGACGAGGACATCGACGAGGCAAACACCCGATCAGAACCGTTGGGACGACCAAGAGCAAACTCGACATGAGTGCGCGAGTGTATGGCCTCGCTCGACCCTACGCTTCACTCGCACGCGGAGGTTCGACCTAGCAACACATTCGCCACACGCACACGAGCTGAGCAGGCCAAGACCGAAGCGACAACGAAATGAATTTGGTCTCTACGCTCTCCAGAGCCTGAATCCATGGATGGTGGATCGCACAACCTCGTCACCCGGATCCTGGGGGAACATTGGCTCCTTGAACCACTCTCCGAGCTTTTCGAACTTCCAACCCTTGACTTCGGCCATGTCGAAGAACTGCATATCCTTGTACGCCAAATGCGGTCTGTGGTGGGTGAAGAAGACCAGCACACAAGGCGTCGCTACGCCTGATTCCGCCACTGCATCCGACAAACACGCATCGCACGTGTCCAACAGCGCCGGATGCGCCTGATGGTTAAAGACCAAATCCGACATCAGGATCAAATCAAACTTGCCACCCGCCCTTTCCAGCAGCGGTGTTGCATCCCGTCCCCAAATATAGCCCTCTACAAACGTCTCGCCCGCTCCCCGCAGTGGGCTGGCTTCGTCTTGACAGTTCTCGACAATGTTGCGCGTGAGGTTGTCGATAAGCGCCTTGTCGGGGTAGTCGGTTGCAACCACGTGCGATGCCGACGCCCAGTTGCATACGATACTAGGCAATCCAGCGGCAGCACCCAACTCCAGCACCCGCTTGCCCTTGGTGAGCGTGAGAGCGTGCGCGCAGAGGAAGTCCGCCATGATGAAACTAGCGTTCCACGCCAGGTGGCCCCACAACGGATGACTCCCAACCAGGTTGAGCGTCACCTTGGAAGAGGTGCCCGGGAACTCGTAGTACGTCACCGTTGCAGGTGGCGTCTTGGGTCGAAAGTCGTCCGGCTCGTCAAACATGTTGAGCGCATCCCCGTCATCTTCGTCGGCAGCGTCGGACTCGTCGGGCCTCGACGGATCAACGTCGACACTGCTCGAGTCCGCAGGTACGTCGGGCAGCTCCTTGCTGCGGTCACCCACAGCTTCGAGCTCGACCGGTGCGACCTCTTGCTTGCCATTACCGAGCGCAGCGGGCGAGGCAGCCGCACCGACGATCGCTGCCGCAGCACCCGCTGTAGCAGCAGTGGCCACTAGTGCTGCGTCTTTGGTGGCCTCGGCAGGCTGTGGTTCGCTGGGCGGCGACGAGGTGGCGTGTCCATTTGCCTCGAGCGAGCTGTTGTCAGTGTGCGGGGCGGTGGACGAGACCAACGACTCGCGCTGGCCGCGCGCGGGGCTCTTGGGCGTCAGCACGGGCGCGGGCCGAGCCAGCTGGTTGGAGCGCTGGGCCGACGCGTGGTTCGTCGAAGACGCGGTGCGCTGACGTCGTGGCACTGCAGAGCGCTCGCCGTTCATCGTCTCGACCTCTTCGGACGGGCGGTAGTCGTACACCGCATCGCCATGCCCGACACTAGACGCCACCGCATTGTGGTGACCGACGCTCGAGGCGGCGTCAAAGCGGTGGCTACCCACGGACGACGAGGACGACAGGCGCCGGCTGCGCTCCAACGTCACCGAGCGTCGGCCCTCGAGCTGGGTGAGCGTCGACTCGAGCTGCTGCTGGATCTTGGCGATCTGATCCGTCACAGCCGTGGTGCGCTTCTGAATCTCATTGTTCATCTGCTCGTCGGGGAAGTGGTTGGACGCCGACGCGTTGGGCGCACCACTTGCGCCGTTGGCATGCGCGTCTTGCGACGGCGCGACGGAGCCCTTGTTGAGGCGGCTGGGGGTGCGCGGCTGACCCATGGAGATGCGCTGTTCGGCGAGCGCGCGCGACCTCATAATGTGCATCTCGGTGTTGTGGCTGGCATCGCTGGCTGCGGGCGAGCCGGCGCCGTCGAGTCGGGTGTAATTCTGGGTCATGCTCTGCAGATTGCCGAGCGAAGCCATGCCAAAGTCGTCGCCCGAGGTGGAGAGGACGTTGCGGATCTCGTCCATCATGGCCTCTCGCTCCGACTCGAGGTTCTCCATGGCGGTGCGCATGCGGAGCAGCTCGCCCTGGGCCTTTTCGCGAGCCTGCTCGGTCTCCTTGAGCTGGATCTGCGCCTGGACGTACTCGAGATCGCGCTGCTGGAGCGTCGAGCTGAGCCTGCGCGACTCGCGGCGCTCCTTGTCGAGCTTGGCGCGCAGGTCGCCCGCCTCGCGCGTGAGGCGGTCGACGAGCTGCTGGATCTTGTCAAACTGCTGACGCCACATCTCGCCCTCGCTCATGAGGAAGGCGAGGCGCTTGTTGAGCCTGCCGATCTTGTTCTCGAGACCGTCGCGCGCGTCGACAAAGGTGCTTGCGCGCTTGCGCAGCGCCAGCACGGCGGCCTGCTCGGTCTCGGATGCAACGGCCTGCTTGTCGGTGCGCATGCGCAGCATCTTTTTGAGGAAGCTTGGCTTGGTGCCTTCGTGGAGGACGTGGTCAAAGGCGCCGACGAGCGCGCCCTGGTCCCACCACTGGGGCGTCTCGAGGCGCTCGTAGGCGACGTCGCGCGAGGTGGACTCGACCTTGCTGAGCGGGCGGAAGCGTCCGCTGGGGAAGGCCTCGACGTACTCGCGCGGGATGGTGTAGTCGGCGGAGGAGAAGCCCAGGGCGGCGATGAGTTTTCTGCGCTTCCTGTCTCTGGCAGCTCCTTTGGAGGGCGCCTTGAGGGGCGGGCGCGGACAGTTGACAAAGTTGATGTCGAGGTCGACGATGCAGACCTCCTTGGGTGGCTTGATGATGCTTCGCAGCTCAGTGTTGATGGCGATGAGCCAGGAGCCGGGGTCCTCGAGGTAGATGCGCACGTCTCTGGCGTGGCAGTTTTGATGTGCGATGCCCTTCCAGCCGCAGAGCTCGACGAGGTACTTGACCGTCTCGACGGCCATGCCCATGAGGGCGGGATGACGCGACATGAAGAGGATGCGACCTGCTGGTGCGAGGGCGATCTCGCAGATGGTGAGCACGTTGTCGATGGAGAGCGCCTTGAAGAGGGGCCACATGGAAAAGTCGATGCCGAGGAGGCCCCTGCCCCAGTCGAGCGCGCCGGGGAAGGTGCAGACGAAAGCGAGGTCCTCGTCGGGCGAGGGGAGGCGGAAGGTCTCGCCGATGCGCGGAGCGGGATGGCGGAGGATGGCGGCCATGAGCTTGTTGTGCATCTCGATGTTGCGGCTGTACTTGAACCATGCGGCCTTGTTCCAATCGCCGAGGAGGTTGTAGATGGGGTATCGGGAGACGATGCAGATGGCGTAGGGCATGAAGAAGGCGTTGTTGTCCGGGAGGATCGAGTGGCCGAGCGCGCTGGTGAGTTCGGCGTCGTCTTCGATATCCTCGCCGTCGTTGTTGACGATCTTGTTGGTGGTGGCGGTGCGAGCGGTGGCGCGCGCCTTTGCGAGGCGGCCGAGTTCCTTGCGGATGGCTTTTGCACGCTTGTCGTCTGCGGCGGACCATACGGTGAGGACGGAGCCGTAGAAGGTGGCCGTGCCGGGGGTGTCGTCGCCGGAACCGCCTGCGCCTGCAGGTAGACGGGAGGAGACGCCCTCGAGGCCAAAGCCTTCGCCGACGGCGGAGAAGGAGCGCGTGTTGTGGACGTTGGCGGCGCTGACGGAGAAGGGGGCGCCGGCGTTGCGCACGTCGGTGGAGGGGCGTGCTGCGCCGCCGGAAGCGGACGACTTGACGGTAGGCACGCTGAAGGAGAAGGTGTGAGAGGTGGAGGAGGGCGGGAAGTGGATTGGACCGGTGGAGATCTCGATTTCGCGGGTAAAGGAGAGCTTGAGGGCCTTGGAGAGGACGCGTGCGGTCTCTGCGCGCTCGATGCCGCCGCGGCCGTCTGCCATTTCGATGAACTTTGGATTGGAACCGTTCTTCTTGTCGTTGTTGGAGCCCCAGGCTGAGGATTTGGCGTCCTTCTTGTCGGAAGGGCTTTGGGGGGAGAGCGGGGTCTTTGGGACTTCTTCGACGGGGTTGATGGGCGGGCAGATGGAGCAGCCGAGGACCTCTGGACGCCAGAAGCGGCCTACTGCGCTCTCGATGTGGTGGACGCCATTGGTGGAGTCCTCTTCGGCGAGGGTCCACACTGCGGGGTCCTTGGGGAGGCCAAAGACGGCGTAGAGCTGCGCGATGTTGTTGCCATCGGTGGATTTGGCGACGGAGGAGGTGGAGAGGTTGGAGGTGCGTCCGTTGGTGGATCTGGGACCTGGATTGCTGAGGAAGGGGCGGTGTGCGCTCTTTGGGGTGCGCGCACCGTTGCGAGCGTCTGCGCTCTTGATGGAGAGGTTGGACAAGGAGAATTTGCCGCTGAGGCCGCCGGAGCGACTGGCGGAGCGGCTGGGCCCGGCGCCGTTGGTTTGCGCGGGCATGTTTGTGCGGATGGCACGGAGCGCGATGCAGGCTCGGTGGGGACGAGCTCTCGACACGGAGCCTACGCGGGACCAAACGTTGGCGTGGATGGTGGTCGAAGGGCAAGGTGGTCGGATAGGCGCATGTCTGCGTCTCTACTGTATGTGTGCGCCGAGCACAGACAAGAAAAGGCAAAAGCGCAATCAATCCACACTCCGACTCTCCCGAGCGGGAATCCATTTTGCACTTTCCACTTTCCGCTTTCTCGCCTTTTCTTTTTCTTTTTCGAGTCTTTATTGGCCGAAAAGGCTTCAAGCTTCAATCATGCCGCTCACTCACCTCTCTGTTGCCAGAGAGAGACCAAGCTTCCATGCGAGCGGGCGTGCTGTGGTGGATCTCGGCTCGAGGTGGCCATCTCGCACCTCGCAGCGCATCTGCACGCGGTGGACCATGGCTCTGGTGGATGGCGCTGTGCTGGCGGAAAGGGCGCTCTTGATCTGGTTTCTCGCTTGCTACGCGAGCTGCAATGCCATGCGCTCTCCTTCGCTCGTCCAGCGGCCAAGAAACAGCCACCCGCCAATGATGCCCCGCGCCGAGACAGTCATGACGCACAAATTGAGTCAATGGGAAGTTTGCTCACTTGTTAGACCCGCCGTATATGTACATCAGCGGTTCAAAAAACAATGCGACTCGAGTGGCCTTCTGTCAGTATCAGCAAAGCCTTAGTAAGCTGGCTCATTTCCTGCCGAAAATTTTGGGAACGAGTCGGCTGCAGTGCACTTTCTGTTCCACACTCCCAGCCCGTCCCGGATTCTTCCAACCACCCTTGCCGCTCCCACCCTCCTTCGCTCCATGGACCCACCATCTCATCGCTAGCCGCACATATTCAGCAGACGATCGCTCTGCACTGTCGGCCACACCATGCCGTCCTCACCGCGCAAGGGTGCAAAGCCATCACCAGCGGCCACCACCACCGCACAATCGCCATCACAGCCATCAGAGCCATCGACTTCTACATCCCTGCCACAGCTCAGCAAGGCTCACGAGCTGGCCGAACTCATCGCTTCGCATCCAGAGCGACTCGCCGACCCAGATGCATCGCTCTCCCAGCTCTCCGTATCCGCACTCAAGCAGCTCTTCGACCATGCCGTCCGTTCCGAGGAGCACGCCGTACCCGCCATCTGCTCCTTCATCAACACCATCGCTCCCAACTCGGCTGCTCCCGACCAGCGTGCCTCCCGTTCCGGCGGCAAGCGAAAGCGCGGGCAGGCTGCACCCGCCACTGCCCCTGTCTTTGAGGCCACGCCGCTCGACGAGCTCATCATTCAAGGCATGGACTCACGCCAGCTTTGGGAGCAGCTCGACCTGAAAGCTTCCCAGATGTCCGGCCTAGTAGAGCGCTACTTTGCACAGGGTCTCATCCGGGAAGAGGAAGAAGACGAAGAAGATGAGGACGACGGCAGCCGCGCAGGCCCCTCTCGCACTCGCAAGCACAGCGATGACGATGAGTCCAGCGACGACGACGATGAGGACGACTCCGACGGGCAAGAAGATGAGGACGACTTCGACCCGGAGGAAGAGCGCGTCAAGCTCAGCCAGCTCAGCGATGCAGATCTCCGCGCACTCGGCATCGATCCAGCCCTCCGTGAGCAGTTCCTCGCAGAGCTTGCACAAGAGCAGGGCGACGACCACGACGATGACCAAGACTCGGACGAGGAGGGTTCGCCCTACGCAGGTGCTTCCGACATCAGCGATGGTGACCCCACCGAAGTCTTCTACGAGCCGCTCAAGACCGAAGCCGAACAGCTCCGTCGCAAAGAGGAGCAGGAGATGGGCATGCTCCCACGTCTGCGCTCCCAAGTCGGCGATGACGACGATGACGAGGATGAACACGAGCAATCAGATTCAGGCGACCAAGACGACATCGAGTCCGAAGAAGAAGAAGAAGAGCAAGAGCAATCGACAAACAAGCGTGGCAAGCGCGCTCGTGCCTCTGACATCCCCGAATCCCTCCTCCAAGACCTCGATCGTCCAGGAGAGCCTGCCACCCGCCCCGCAAAGCGTCATCCCACTCTCGACGACGACTTCTTCTCCATAGACGATCTCAACAAGCAGCTCGACGAGCAGGACGCCGAGGAAGAAGCCGACCCCGCAGACGAGAGCGAAGAAGAGGACCTCGACAACCAGGTCGACTTCTACAAGCCGCTTGCTGGCGATCAAGACATGGACGACGACGACCAAGATGACGCAGACGAGGCCGCAGAAGCAGCCGCCGTCGATGCCGCCGATGCACACTATGCCGACTTCTTTCTGCCCCCCGCTAAGGCAGAACGCTTCAACAAAAAGTTCGGCAAGAGGAAGGCCTCCGCCCGATTCGCCTCCCAGGACGCCGCCGCTGACGAGCAGGCAGACGGCCATGACGACGACGCGAGCGAAGAAGAGTCCCAGTCTGCTGAGCCGGCTGTGCGTGTGCACGAGGAGCCCGACCGCAAGCGCAGCATCCGATTCAACGACACCATCGAGTACCGCCGCATCAAGCCGCGCAAAAAGTCCGCAGACGACCTCACTCCTGAGATGCTCCGCATGATCGGCGCCTCCTCCGACGACGTCGACGCCGCGCGCGACTTTGACATGGACGACGGCGATGATGACGACGACGACGAGCGCAGCGGCCAAGACGACGACGACGATGAAGATATGGACATGGACGAAGTCGAGTCCGAGACGTCTTCCATCGGACGCCATGCCAGCGACGACGAAGAGGACGAGGACGAGGACGAGGACGAG